AAATCAAATATAATGAAATTCGACAAATGTCGTTCGAAAAGTGGCTTAGAGAAGAGCATTTTCAATGTTTACTTATGTTGTTCAATTTGGTTTACTTTTCAAGTGACCACTGGGGAGCGCTTTGCAAGTGATTTTCTTTAAACCACTTTTTAAAATGTTCGCCAGTCAAACACTTCAGAAGCACGGCAAAACAAGATCGCTACAAATAGGATCAGTACCACTGGGGAGCGCTTTCTTTTTTACGGTGTACGGTAGATTAGAAACCCATTCAGTTATTGAAATCATTTCTCCAATGCGTTTCAGCTATTATGATCGATAAGAGAAGTCGAAAAAAACTAAGATGGATTCATTAGAATATTGTGAGCTAAATAATGCTACTTTATGCGTGTATTTATCAATAAACGTTAATTCATGTAGCTGCAGATTTATCAAAATACAGTTAATCAAAAATTATTACTTGATATGGTAAATCCCTCATCTTAACCAGTAACATTATTATCTAGAATTAAAATCGGTTATTTATAAAAGCATTACAACATGATGAATTAAATTTTCTTATCAAGCAGCATGACGAAGATGATATTGATTGGTGTATTTTATAATGGAATGAACTCCTTTAAATTCAACTAAATAGCAATCAACATGACAACAAATTGATGAACAAAGAAGGTGCTATTTGATGACTTTTAAACAAAATTAAATTTTGAAAATAAATATCAAGTTATTTGAATGCAAATGTACATTCTAAAAAAAAGAAAATATTCTTTTTACAGAATTCAAAAACAAAAAGGTTTCAATTTTGGAAACTATTTTAAGGTTTAGTACGGAACCTCTATATTATTCTGTTCAAAAAAGGTTTCATGTTGTTCTCTAATTGCAAGAATAACAAGAATAAGTAAAGGGAGTCCTTTTTCAAACTATTTATAAATCGATAGATATGACTATAGAATATAAAAATTAAATTAAATTTGATCCGCCAATAAAAATATTGTTAAACATTCATCTTTTGAAATGTTCACCATCGCATATCAAACACCTTGTTCAGACGATAACAAATAATTAAGATTCACTTTTAACTATAATTTTGTATTAAAGATGTTAACTAATTAGAAGACTATAATCATCTTCACACTACTAAGGCCATTATACGCAACTTTAATTAGTGAATATTGTTATTCAGTCTTTGAAAGCAAATAGTAAGACAATAAAGCTGAACGAAATAGAAAAAATGAATGACTTATTAAATTTATTTATTATGGTCTCTACATGATCTAAGACGGTATACTGAAGTGTGAACACAATCAATTGGAATAACCAGAGTAGACATGCATCGGTTAATTCGGTTATTGTCGGTTAACCAATGAAGATCCATCAATAATTGATATCAATTATGTTTCTAACCGATAGGTTTTGAGTAAGAATTTTTTAAAAGTTTTGTATGAGAAATATTTTTCTAAATGAGAAACGGACTCAGTTATTTCCGGTTTAATCGGACTGATGCATGTTGCTTAAACAAAAGACTATGAAATCATAAACGAACATAAAAATCCCTAACTGGGCTAATTCAATGTAATTTCTGTCTTTAGAAATACTAATAACTGTGCTGTCAATTTTTCTAACTTTTTCTTATCAATTTAGCGTTTCATACAAATCTTGGCTTTGAAAATACAAATATATATTTTTTTTGAACAAGTTTCTTTTTATTTTCTGACATACAATACTTTGAAAATTCTAAAACATTTCTGGTTTTGGGACTAAGCTACAGAACTTTTCTGAATTTACTTACTTATCACGGAAAATTCTTAGGTTTTGTAAAAAAAAACCTTTTCTTACAGTGTATAGCGTGCGTTTGACAGAACAAAAAAGGGTGTTGGTTTTTTACTGTTATTTTTTGGCTCAATAGACTTTTAACTTCATTCTAACAGAATGAATTACGGACTACATTCTGGTTGCATGAATAAATGATATTTCTTTTGCTTGATTATTTAATTCTATTATAAATATTTTTGATTCTAATATCTGATAAGCAGAATATATTTTTAGTCTGAATTACTAGAATATTCTTTCAGCTAGTTTTATGTTTGTTGTAATCGTAGCTACACAATGTTACGTTTTCTACAATTTTCTGAGGCTGTTTTACTGTATAGATATTATTTTTATATAGCAATTATGTTATCCTTTACCGCAGTAGTCTAAGAGAACATAGACTACGCCAGTTTATTGAAGATCAAAGATATTTTCTATATAAATTAATTATATTTGCATATGTAGAAAATAAAAAAGAGAATCTCCGCTTTTGAAGTTAATTTGTTTAATTAAATTTTTGATAATTATACTTTAGTAGTAGTGAAAATCAAGGCTCGATTGGCACGATATTTTTCCTATTAGAGAATTTAGAACCTGAGGCTTTTTTTCTTTACAAATAAATAATAGATTTATGAATTTTGTCTTGCAATTTTCTTCCTCAATTAACTCGACCGATCATACTTATTATAGAGACAATTACAAACAATTTATTCAATATATGTACAACTACAAAACTTTAGAAGAATTATAGACTGAGATGCCTACATTTATTAGGTAATGGACTAGTGAATATATGTCAGAACCTTTCTACTATTTTGCTAAACTTTAACTTATATGTACACACAACATATACACGCGCATGGAACAGCAAATTACGCCAATTTCTTATCATTCAAACAAGTGCATAAAAACATATCAGAGGCTATGGATTATCTATATCGTTAAATAAATAATAATTTTATTCGTCTATTTATTTTTATTAAATGTGACAAAAATAAAGAAGAACAGTACTATTGCAATTCTATTTAATAACAGAAAGAGAAAGAATATCGTTATTGAGCACATTAATTTAATGTAAAATTGCATTGAGAAATCTTGATAGTGAACGAAATGAAAGAATTAAAACGTTGACGTTTATCCTTTATTATAAATCGTTATATTGATGATGTACATGAAATATTTTTTTTGATTGTCAGTTTTGGAAAGTCGTACGAAGATGAGATTTTGGTATTCTATTCATTATAAAAAAAGAAAGATTAAGCGTACTTCAACCCTCTTCTCTCTCTTTTTTCATCTTCTTCATAAATCGAGTACGAAAGTTCAATTGGGTTCAAATTCATACCAAAAATAGTACATCGAAAGGAAAAACCGATATAGTTTTGCCTAGAATTTTTTGACATGTTCGTCTATAGGTTTACTAGAAAACTCTGGTTTTCACTGAAGTACATTACGGCACCCCTCTCACTCCATAAACTTCATCCGATCGGGTTCAAAAGTTTACTCCAGATACCTGAGACGATATCTTAGAAGAATAACTCTCCTTTTTCAGTCCTGATTTTCTTTCCGAGTTAGTGGGTTTTCAAAATCCAAATTCTAGATTTCACCTAGAGTTTGTGCCAGTTTTTCTTATATCGTGAGAAGAAAAGCTCAAAAACGAAAAAGAAAAACAATGGTTCCACGATATTGCCTTAGATATTTGTAGAAAATTCTTGAACCCGATTAGATGAAGTTTATGGAGTGAGAGGTGAGCCGTAATGTACTTCAATGAAAACCAGAGTTTTCTACCAAACCTATAGAAGAACATGCCAGAAAATTCAAGGCAAAACTATATCGATTTTCTTTTTCGATGTACCATTTTTGTTATGAATTTGAACTCAATCGGACCTTCGTTCTCGATTTACAAAGAAGATGAAAAATGGGGGAGGGGAGGGAGAAGAAAGAGAATACTCTTAAAAATGACGAAACAAAATTCAATAAATTGTTTACGAAAGACATTTTATAAATTGAGCATTTTTCTATTCAATCAATAATTATAATTTGACAGTTCCGTACTCACTTATTTTTTGAGTCGTTTTAATAACATGCAAAACGAATATTCCTGAAGAATATTAACGTCTCATTAGTCTCTAAGTATGTGTGATAAAGATAACAAAAAGCTGAAATCTCTCCATATCGATGAAATGTTACGCTGAACTATTTTTGTGTGTTTTTCCTGTTACTTATACTCATTATACATCATATCGTATAACTTAGCTCAGCAGTAGAGATATTTGATCATTTATAATAAATTATTCTAGATACTATTTTTGTATACATAAATCACGGCATCATTCTTATTACTTGTTGATAACAGATCAATAATTCATAGATAGTTTTTCTATACAGATAAAATAATATCGTAATATACGGCAATCTTATATAGTAGTATATATAGACGTAGCGTTTAAAAAACGTACGAAAATTTAATATAAGGATAATTTTTTGGATGATAACAGTTTAACCTATAGAAACTATGGGTGTACACAAAAGAAGATAACTATTTCAAAACAATGAATTTTGATACGTTTTTTTCCTAATTATAATAAGCTGTCACAACATATATGATGTGTAACATTTGTTCGAGTAACACATAAAAACCTGTTTAAGACACCTATCTCATATGATATATGCAAAGATATTGATTATTTTTTTTATTATAAGTGTCCGATCAATGTTGTATATCGCAGAATCATCAACAATAATCATCTGTTGCTTCAATAAAAACACAAGAACCATGGTATATTGCATTTGTTTATACTGTTTTTTACTCATATGAATGTAAAAATAATACTCAAGTTTGTAAAAAAATAAACATATTTTTTCTTACTAAAATAGCGATAAATTCAACTTAATTAATCAACGAATTAATGTCAGTTTTAATTGACATACATAGTTAGAGCACAACTGATAAACATGCCAAAACATAAGGTGTATTCTAGAGAGAATAAGATAGAAAATGATTCTATTCGAATAGAAAAAAGAAAACAAAAAAAGACGAAGAATGTATTATAGACATAAAAAAAAAAAAAAAAAATGAGAAAAGAAAAAAAAAATTGATGTACTCTCGTTTGCTTGAGAAACATGTTATATTCTTAAAAATGAACAGACTTTATCATCATTATAGGTTTTTGTTAATTTGAACATCATCAACAAGAATGAATGTTAGTAGTCATATTAATAATAGTGAAATAATTACAGAAATATCATGGATTCCTACACCATTTACCGATCGTTTATTATCAATTTATTCTTTACTATTAATTATTATTGGCACACCATGTAATATATTATGTGTATGTATTTATTTTCAAAAACGTAATCGTTCAAGTTCAATAAAAACAATTTTTGGTTATTTAGCACTATTAGATTGTATTACATTATATACGTTTAATTTAAATTATGTTTATCGTGAATTTTATACTAAACACTATCAACATGATGATGATGATAGAAATGGAATGATATTAATTAAAAAAAATTTAGAAGAATATTCATTAACTATTTGCCGATTATTATCCTATACCGGTTGGTATTATTTTTTTCTTTTTTTTTTGTTTTCTTTTTCATTCTTTTTATTTTTTATTTTTATATTTGGTTTTCCTTCTCTTAAGAAAATATTTTAAAATGATATAGAAATATTTAAAACAACATTTTGATCATCTTTTAAAAATCTAGAAAAATCTAATATTTTTTAGATTGGTGAACAGTTTGTCCATTTTTTCGTATGACTAGTGCGTGTTTGAAAATACATCTATTTTCATACGTTTTGGTTTTGTTAATAGGCAAAACAGATGGATTAATTGATTTTAAATTATATATTCTGTTGTTTCCACATATGTATGTATTCTATTTTCGGATAGTAATTCTTTCAATATGAACTAAATAACTTGATACTATAGATAACTCATCGAAAGAAAATATTAAAAAAACAATATATATATATATATATTTAATACAATATTATGTATATATTTATTTTAAAATATTCGTTGAGTACATATGGAAATTATTTTGAAATTGCGTTGTTGTCGTTTTTTCAAACATAAACAAATATTACGTTAAAAAACTGATTACTCTTCTAAATCTTGAAGATGTGTGTGTGTGTGACACTAACAGATTCGACGTTTAATATTTCAAAAAATGCCAATTCTTTATAATATACCAATTTTTATATTGTATTTGTTCTTGCCTTCTTAGACAAACGACAGAAGATCATTTAAACATTAAGAATAAAGCTGGTTAGATTAGCCTCTTTGAAGCTAATTAAATGTATAACTTCTCTAGCTAGTCAGATCAAAAACTATAGCATAAGAAACTATTCATATATTTTGTGACTTTAAACAGAGTCAGTTTCCACTAAAATTTGAGCGAACAACGGTATAGTAGCAATGTGTTCTAATGACAGAACCACGTTAAAATCATTTGTACAATACATTAATAGCTCTAATAAATGATAAAATATTGAATTTAAGATATTCTTTGCGTCCAACTTCTAGAGTAATGCCCGTTTCAGATACTCATCATAAACATTTAAGTCCATTAGACATGTCCAGCTTTAGGATAGCCTTCCTGCCATGACAATGATCATTAGAACTAAGCCTAACCAACCACAAGAGCTCTAACTATAAGATACTCTCAATAACTGGTTTGTAAAACAGAATCCATATCAATCTCAGACACACCCTTCATCTATTTTAAGATAGTTTACACAATATTTTTAGATAGTATCTAGAACAAATTTAAGACAGTCTCCAGAGTAGAAGAACTATATTTTTGGTGAAATCGCTAAGGATTCAAGTATAGAACTATTCTTTTTCTAACCTTCGAATTATCTGGAGAAGTTAGATAAAAATAAATAAAAAAAAAATGGAAGATAATAGTAGAAATAAAATTTCATCAATATTTTGAAAAAAAATCTATATTTTTATTTTTAATGATTTTTATTTATTTTTTTCTTCATTTTAATAGCTTTTACTATACTTCAAACATCCTCATGGATACTTGCCTTTGGTTCTATTAATCGTTATTTATTAATAAAACAATTGGGTTATTTTAAATTTATTTGTAAACGTAGTTATACTATTATCATTTGTTTAATTATTACTTTTACATTTCTTGTTTCAAATGTCCATATATTAGTTCTGAATGGTTATAATGATAATATAACGAATAACAGTACAACAATAATTGTCCAATGTTATAAAAATATTAACTATCCAAATTATATGATATATTATCAACGTTTTCATTTATTTATCTATAGTATATTACCAAGTATTTTTTTACTTATATTTAATACACTTTTAATACGTACAATATTTCAAAGTAAACGTCGTCTAGTTAAACATAAAAAATCATCTTTAATATTATATTATAATAATAATGGATATTCAACAATATCACCACAATTAATTCCATCAAATAAAGAAATAACTTCAAAATGGTCATTAAGACGAAAAAGTTCGAGTATAAAAAATATTAAAACAATATCTACAACACGTTTATTAAATCATGGTCATAGTCGAAAATTAACATTATCATTAATATTTATTACAATATCATTTTTTATATTAACCTTTCCATCTACTCTTCTATTTTCCTATATTCGTTTAAAAATACATAATTTATCTTATCGACGTACAATAACATTATTTTTTACCAATTTATCAACAACAACACATGCCATACGATTTTTTATCTATTTTGTTTGTTCAATTGATTTTAGAAATGATTTTTTTCAATTAATTTGTTTATATTTTAAACAGCATAAAATTAAACAAAATAATCTACATTGATATAATATAAAATATAAAAAGAAGAAACATTTTATACATAAAATTTTTAAAAATACAATATTTTTGTCATCGGTTATTTGAAAAAGGTTATGTTGATTAAAAAATATTTATCTTTTTCCCAATATTAAATTTATGTAGAAAAAAAAAATGAAATAGAATCATTTAAGGTAAATTATGCTCAGTATTTATTATTTTTATAATATTTTACTTATAGCACGTAAATCTGTTGATGTTAAATATGTTGTTTTTCAAAATTTAATAATAAAAAAAAAAAATTTTTTTATTTTGTGCACGATGCTAAAGGTGTTCGTGATAGAACTAATAATTAGAATTTTAATTTAATTATTCGACTAATTTTAATAAACAAACATTCGTTTATAATTGTCATTATTTATTTATATTATCGTACTTTTACTAAAAATATGTTTTCTTTTTTTCTTCTTATTTTTAAAATGATTTAAATTTTAGGATGTTAGATTGAACAAAACATTGACTTTTGAAGTTTATTATATGTCAAACTGTATTTAGTTCATGTCATTGACATATTTCTAATCAAAATTATCTTCAATGAGGCATGATGACATATCTCAATTATTCTGAATGGACGGACTGTTCAATCAAGTAGAACTCTTAGAAAATTGATTAAAACTAATTACCATTAATAAATTTTGAGAGAAAATTTTTACATTATTCTATAGTTAAATGGTACATCTATCTTCTATTCAATAGCTTATTTTCCATACTAAAAATGATCTTATTTTTCAGAAAAAATACTATAAAAACGTTTGCATTACTAAAAATAATTACTCTCATTTATTTTGTCCTATATTTCTGACATAGTATTGAAAAAAAATGAAAAGTTTTTAAGGTCAACTAGAATATAAATTTCACTTAATAAAAAAACAAAAAAAAGACCCATTCACTATTTTAAACACGTATAGATAAACTTGTTCTTTTTCTAGACAATTTATTCTGTTTTGTGAGTACGTGTTGTTGCTTCTAGAACATATAAGACTAAAAATTATTTTATTAGTAAAGATTAACATACTGGGAAAGAGATTAATAGACAATTCTTTTTTGTTTTCACCGACAGTTGGACGAAAGAAAACATAGATTACCATAGAGAAACACGTATTTTGTTAGATTGAGTATTTTTGACCGTGATTCAATATGGTTGAGACAAGATTTATCAAAGATGAACTAAAACTTTAACATTTTATATAACAAGTATTTTCTATATCAATCATGGATGAGTACTTATTTTATGTGAATAAATAAATTCTTCGAGTTTTTTCAATATATGAAAATATGTTTAAGATAATTCTATTTAATTTCTAAAGAATCTACAGTCTTATTTTATTACATCACATTTATTGATCTATTATGGATGATGCTTCATAGACTATACGCATTAGCTAAAAACCTATTTTAAACTAAAAATCCCTGTATAAAATTAATAAACATCGATCTAAACATTTCGAAATATGACCATTACAGGTGGCCGAACATTAACCTCTGCATTCAAACGGGCCCAGAAAACCTTCAATTTGTTAGAAAGAACAATAAACTTCTAGATATCTATAGAATGTAAAGTATCAATGTACTTCTTCCTTGTGATATAACTGAAAAGTTTAAATTGCTTTATGGAAGTAGCAGACGTATCAAAAAGAAAATCGATTTTATCTTTTTTTGTAATTTCTGTAAGATTGTCAAGACGATATATAAGAAAATTCAAATGTAAGTAAGATATTAGAAATATCTTGTTTTATAATTTCCTACCTAATGTAAAAACTGGATTTAGATAGCTTTTTGAAAAAAAAACACTAAAAATTCTAAAAGATTGTCAATGCAACAATATTTTGTTTTTACTTAATAAATGCAACAATATTTTGTTCTACTTTGAAATTATTTTTTGTGCAAAATTCGAATTCTATAACACACTAGTAGAATCTAAATGGTATAAATACAAAAAATAGTCGATATTCGGTTTTTCATATTGGTTAACCATATTTTAAAATCCTATATACAGATCTTTCATTTAAATAGTTTTTATATGCATTCAAATGTCACGTATAATTTGTTACAGACTCTACAAAACTACTATGATATATTGGTGAATAAAACAAATTCTTTTATTATCAACTATGATTTACATGTGTGCATGAAAGAGTTTTTATTTCATAACATTTTTTGTTTGAAAAACGAAATTCATGACAATTAGAATTGATATGAGAAAAAGAATAAGGAAGAAAAATGCCTTCGTTTATATTCTTTTTCATTAGAGTTTTATTTGTTACATACTAAAATGTCATATGTATATTTGTCTAGTTTAATTAAAAACGAGAAGGTTTGTAAACTACTTAGCTTATATTTCTTTTTTGTTATCTTGCATAGACAGATATATAGAAGAACGTACTTGAAAAGATATATAAGAGTTCTAATTTCATTAACAAAATTGTGTATATTTATAGATTTATAACATATTTTCAACTTTTGTGATACAATCAATGAAAAAAAAAAAAAATTTTCATGTCTCTTATTCATAACAGGAAATAAATGATAATCTATCGTTTTAGTATACTTTTCCTAAAGCACAAGAATTCTTCGCATTCTCAATTATAGAAAAAGAGTTGCAACAGACAGTTCATTTTGATCTTATAAAAAAACGAAAATAATGACTTTTTTCTACACGAGATTTAATTCTAAACTAAAATCATACGTTGGTTTTAATGAGATAAAAACTGAATTCTAGTTTGTAGAAAATGATCAAAAGACAAACTGCATACAGCAATGTATTATTTAAAATCTGCCAATTTACGTATATGAATAGCAAAAGGTTTTATTAAAATAAACACACGATCACAATCAAAACAACTAAAAAGAAAAGATTAAGAAACCGGACACTTACGTTTGTTAAAAAAAAAGAAGAAAAAAGCATTATTTCCTCAAAAATGAACAATAAACAAGACAAACTATGATGTCCTTGGTGTTTAATTCTTTTTAAAAGATAACAAACATAAAAAAGAGTTGTATTTACTTACTGTTTAAATATAATGTAAAAAAAAAACAATTAAGATCGAAGAAAAAAAATAGATTTATTTGAATTTTTTTCTGATCAACATTAGTTCTTCTACGGCCAAAAGTTTTTTAAATACAATTTTCCGTTTTTTTTGTTTGAATTCAAACAATAATACAAAAGAGTTTCTAGTATGAAACTTAATTTATATATAAACTACAATACATTGATTGTTCAAACTCATTAAGATAAGAAAACTTTGAACCCAAATGAAGAGTTTGAAACAGAATTACTCATATTGACATTTATTTCCATTTTCCATTTTAAGAGTATGAAATGTAGACAAACAGTCATCTAGAATAACTAGCAACGCAAACAATTAAACTAAGATCAATAATTTTGTACAAAGACTAAAAAGTCGACTGCGTAAAACGATTATTAAAGAAAATTAAAGCGTGCACAAAATTATAAGAAAACATTCAAACAGCATTTATATAATTAACAAAAAAAAAATACAACGATTGCAATAATACTATAGATAGACATCGATTAATTAATTCCTTATCTTCAAAGACTGATGCACGTATGCGACAATAGAAGCTGCTCAAACGATTTTTCTGTAATGAAAATCTGACGAAAGTAGTCGAAGAGTCTTGATGAATTGCAAGTCAATAAGTTTAAATTTGACTGAGGTACATATCAACGCAAAAAATAAAGTTCATTTAGTTACTGAAAAATCCTTTTTTGTATTCAGTATATTTGATAATCCAAAAGATTTTCTATTATTAGCGAAGGGTACTGTCAAAAGTTTAGAAAAAATTTTTAAATAAAATCGTGATAAAGAATTCCAGTTGGGAAAATAATATTGGTTTCAAAAATTTTCTTAAACTTTTGGCAATACGTCTCGCCAAAAATCTGCTGTGTTATCGAGCGTGCTGAATACGAAAAAGTACTTTTCTGCTACTCTACACAGCTCACCGTGTTTTTGAAGAAGCACTTTCCATTTTTTATTCTCGGTTTTTCAGAGAACCCGTTAAAACGAGGATAGTTGTATGGGCAAAGTTATAGATCCTACTAAGTAGTTCCTATCCTGAAAAAATCTCGAAAAATTTTCGAAGCGTTTAGGAGAAAATCGAGTCAAACTTCAAGTAAATTGAGCACCACTCGAATGTAAAGTTAGATCGAGACCAAATTCCTTCACCATTAGAATCAACTTGTCAAGAGCTACAATTTGATGTATAATTATGCAACGTTTCGTTCATTTTCACCGACTTCGATTTCACCCTCACCAAAAACTTGAGGTGTCTAGAAAACCACTTTTCATACGTTTTTTCAAAAAAGCGTAAACGAGACCTTTAGATTATTTTTGATGCTCTACTCGATGGGCAGAGTGAGATTTTCGCGGCTAATTGTGAATGTAATAGTGGGCGGACCTGTGTGGAAGCACCCAAAAGACTTCGCGAGATAAGGCAATGAAAAAGAAAAATCGAAAAATCAACAAACCGAAAAACCAAGTAGTTGTTCTTTTGTTGAGTTCTTATGATTTTATCTCAGTCGAAACAAAAACAACCAGAAAAAGTGATAACATCCATGAATAAAACGCCTTTTTTCACTCCCTTAGAAGTAAAGATTATTTGTTATTCAAGAGCTTTTCCTTGATTATTTTTACTTTATCAAATCTGATCTGGAAAAATCGAATTTCGCCTGTTCTTATTTTATGAGTAGTTTTTCGTCGACTACATTATTTACACGGCACTTCTGATTTTTTTTAACATACTCAAACTAGTTCATCGCGACTTAACTAAGTGGCAAATAACAAAAGTGCGCGCATTTATATCAGAGTTTTTCGAAAGATGTCGCGGTTTTTCGTTCGATATAGTACGTTTTATTATTGGTTTAAGCTTGGATCTAGAACCAGAACGAAATCGAGAATATAAATTCTTGTTAAATCATTCTGAAACTTAAACTATTAAAACATAAAGTTAATCCTAGAATAGTATCGAACACAAGAACTTGATCGTTGGAGACGAACTACTAAAATTAACTTTGTCATAGATTTTATTGTATAGAATGTTATAAAAATGGCTGTTCAACAGCTGATCAGACTTGGCAACAATTACAATTACATGATTATTATGTTTGGGTTATCTTTGGCGGATATCTGTATGTGAAATCGTCCTTACAGAACCGAAGAATTTTTTTTTTGAGGTTAGCCTCTTTACTGAATGTGATCGAGATACGCCAAATGCACCGTAAAATTTGTCAGATGTGAAGCGACTAAATGATGACGTTATTGAGTGTAGGATCAGTAATTTAAAACGTAAAAACGAAATCATGACCGATCACTTTACAAATGAGTCATATATACTATGACGCTTAGTCGTCATAGTATGTAATATGATGTATAGTATGACGCGCGCTGGGGTACATATTACCTCCAAAAATTAATCATCAGAGGAAACTCTTCTTTATAAAGTAAATTTTCACAATAAACAATAATCGTTTTTTAAACAAGAATAGAATCAATAAAACTGAGTTAAGTCTGAAAAAAAATTATATTAAAATTCCATAATGCAGTTTTTGAGCACTAAATGTTTATGGGTTAAAATAACACCTGTGACTCCCTATGTAATAAAAACAATGTGCGCGTCCTTACGGGTTAAAAATAACAAAATACTCTTTCTCATTTTTATCCCGAAAAGTCGGTTGCAAACTAGCTTTCATTTTTAGATGTGTCTGTCAATTTGTGATCATTTTTTGACAACATTGCGTTTATAAATTCGACTTTTTTACTCGAATTACAGAACATGGCCAATAACCAAGAGGAATGCCTTAAGGTAAGAAGACGCAGATTCATCTAAAGTTATTTGCATATTCGTTTACTTTTTCTCTCTCTTTCTAGAAAGGAATCAGTTACGCTAATGTGGCTACAAAAGAAGACGAACAAAAAAATTATCAAGTAGCAGCCGAAAATTATTTATCCGCTGCGGAATGGCTTCTAAGAGCAAGAAAACGTAATATATATTAGACTGATAAGTGAATTATAATTAAAATAAATATTTGTTATGTAGTTGTAACTAATGCTGAAAAAAAAGTCCGGTTGCTTGAAGCAGCTGAACGTTATATTGATCGTGCTGAAAAAATTAAAAATATGCTCGATAACAATGAAAACAAAAAGGAAGGTATCACTAAAGATGATTCTGATGGAAACAAAAAGAAACCTATCGCTGAAGATGATTCTGATGGAAATAAAAAGAGTGAACAAGACGACGAAGTTGATCCAGACCGAAAAAAGATGATGCAACGATTTGCAGGTACTATTGTACATCTTTCACGAATTCTTTAACGATAGTTTTCTCTGTTTTTATTTTTCAAGGTTCAATTATTACTGATCCAAAAGTTACATTTACAGATGTCGTCGGTTTAGATCAAGCTAAAGAAGCCCTCAAAGAAGCTGTTATACTACCAATTAAATTTCCGAAATTGTTTACCGGTAAAGTACGAATTTAGATGTACTACTAAAAAATAAGTTTTGTAAGTTTGACTTGTTCTTATTCGTGGTACTGAACCATGTGAACACAACACTTATATAAACAGTGTTTTGTGTGATGTAAGAAAGATTAGTATGACGCTACATTTTTAAAAATTAATGTTTTTCTTTTATGTGGTGTAACGACTGTATCTCATGTTTTAGGTAATAGAAGGCCGTGGGCTGGAATATTACTTTACGGAGTAAGTGAATATAAAATTTGTCTTTTTTGTAAATTACATTAGAATATTTTTGTTTATTTTTAGCCACCTGGTACTGGAAAATCGTATCTAGCTAAAGCAATCGCAACTGAATGTAAAAGTACATTTATATCTGTCAGTTCAGCCGATTTATTATCGAAATGGCTTGGTGAAAGTGAAAAAGCTGTTCGATTTTTATTTGAATTAGCACGTGAAAGAAAACCAGCGATTGTATTTATTGACGAAATTGATGCGCTTTGTTCATCAAGATCGGAAAACGAATCAGAAGCTTCTAGACGTATCAAAACAGAATTTCTCATACAAATGCAAGGTAAAACGTTAAAATGCTCGATGTTTGAAGTGTACACCATTATTTTTCTCATCTTTAGGAATTGGAAACAATAATGAAGGGGTGTTAATACTTGCAGCCACTAACATTCCATGGGTACTTGATTCAGCTATTCGACGACGGTAATGACTAAAAATGTTCTGGTATTTTTTTTACATAAATTATTTTTATATTTTTTCCACTATCCATTCAGATTTGAAAAACGGATATACATACCACTACCGGATGCATCAGCACGTTTATCAATGTTCAAAATGCGTATTGGACGAAATACCCCTCACACAATAAAAGAAAACGAATGGAAAATATTATCCGAAAAATCAGAAAAGTAAGTAAAAAGTTGATTATTTAATAATTAATAGATGATGAATGTTTTTATTTCAGTTATTCTGGAGCAGATATTGCAGTAGTTGTACGAGAAGGTATGTGTACATTCTGTTGAATTATTTCACGAAAATTTTTGTTCAACTACTCTTTTTTCCTTTCATTAGCGTTATTGAGCCCAATTCGACGTCTACAACAATCAACACATTTTAAACGAGTAAGAATAGTAAAACTGCATTCGTATTTTTATTTTGTGTTTCTATATCTTTATATTTTTATTTTAGGTTAAAAATCCAAACGCAGGCGGACCAGATTTATGGGCAACATGCTCTCCAGCAGATCCACTAGCCGAAGAACTTACACTAGACAAAATTGAAGGAGATAAATTATGTGAACCACCAGTCACAATGGTGAGCTAACTGGGTTTCTTTTTAAATCATTAAATTCAACTACAGATCCTTCATTTGGAGGGAAAACTTCGTGTGAGAGATCACGCGACGTAATAGAATAAGTAGAACTGAATATTAAAAACCCCAAATCTACATCTTGCTACCTTTGATCTAATCTGTAAAGGAGACAATCGTACCATCTGAAGGACAAGATGAGTTTTGAGTTATGATCTATCCTTTCGCCATGTTCGAAACTTTGATCAAAACGGTCACTTGAAATTTGTATCGCTATATTTCTCTTCACTATAAGCTTCTGCGAGTAATCGAATTATAAAAGAAAGTTAACATCACTCTAAAAAGTTAGATAACTTTCGGCTTTTTAGAACGATATGATGGCTGCTTTATCGACGCAAAAAGCAACTGTTGGAGCTAAAGATTTAAAACAACATGAAAAGTTTACAGACGAGTATGGTCAAGAAGGTAGCTAAACTGGATTGTGTTTTGCATGATATGTTGAAATGCGTATATTCTTTTATATTTTGTTATATTCTCTTTCTCAAATTGAGTGTAAAAATTGTCATGTATTTTTAATTCATTCTCTCATTATTATTATCATTACTAATAATTCTGCCTTCTTGTTTAATTCAAATTCAAAATAAGTAAAAACGATTGATATATGATGGTAAAAGTCAACGGACCAGATGTTGATGATGACATCTGATAATTGGTGAAAAAGACTATTCATGTTGGTTTTCTCATACAATAAACAAAAACGTCTTGTATTATTGTTATTTATTTATTATTTTTCTCATATTTATTGTTTTTCTTTTCTCTCATTTTCTTTCCGAACGACTTTCTCTTTCTTTTGTACTCAATTTTGTTATGTTTTTGTTTTCTCTGTTAATCTTTTTATTTTGCATTGAATGCAAATGAAAAACAAACAAAAACAAGTATGTCTACTGAATATTAGTTTCTTTTTCTCAAAAAATTCATATTTTGTTTTTTAATAAAATAACGATACTTATATAAAGGTACATGTTCGATTATTTTACCAGGTGAAGCCATAGGTTTTTGGGACTAGCTCACACCAATAGAGATTTGTAGCTCGCTTCTCAACCGAGAGCATGCTCAGATTCTTTTTGTTAAGAAACGAACCGGCTACGTTAACATATCGTTAGCCTTTTCAACTTCTTTTATGGTGAACTAGTCGTACTATTATCAAACTTCGAGATACGAACATCGTCGTTCTCATACAAATTCTCGTTTACAAGATTAGATTTGAACGAAAGCGGATTGTCAAGTTGGATTCTACTCACATGAGTATAATTGTTGCCATATGCAGTAGATATTTGTTAAACTTTATTCCATTAAAATCATGGTGATAAAAAATCAAAATCAGCTCACTCACTGTTTTTCATCTCTAATTATGTGGATCAATAGAAAACTAAATCATTCATCAATGAATGCTGAAAATTACTATAATTTTAGAACAACAAATATTAATCACGGTCACTACTAGTACTTGAATTTAATAAATCTTTTGCGTCCGTATCATTATCTGTCTTGTTGTATGAAATATACTATCATAATCAATGTTAATATATTCATCGAAAGACTCGAGGTTTTGTTGATGCTTCTTTCATATCCAGACACTTCTACATGAACACAACAACAGACGGTTCGTAAGCCGACTGAGAGAGTGCAATATTATCCTTTTGTTGTTTGATGTTTTTCATCATCAAGTTGAATGGTGACGCCTTATTAAAGCTAACAGCAGTCGGTCTGGTTTGTACAACAATCGTATGTTCATCGTCGTTGATTATTGATGATTTTGAATGATCATTGACATATCTTTTGCATTATTTAACTCGACAAATATCTATAAGGAAAAAAAGTCTTTAGAAGGATAGTTTCTGTTTCAGGTATTATTTTGTTTAGATATTGTTGAAGACATACGTTTTCTTGTTCACCAACTATGTTAGTTGAAAACTGTTTAAATTCACGTTAGTTTTCGGCTTCCACCGTTTGAACTTTGCATGACAACCTTCGCATACATAATCATTAACCTAAACTCTTTTAAATATGTGCACCGATTAAGTAAATTATTACTGTGTTTCAATATCTGGTCATCTATAGGAGTATATAAAACTCAGAAAGCTTCTATTTTGAAATAGATATTAGCTATAGGAGTTATTTAAATAACAAAAAGTGAATACTTACTATATTATCTACTTAGTAGATATAACCACAGTGTTTCTTCTGATATATATGGCCGATTTTCCAGATGTGTATCAACAGATAATTTAAATTCTTTGTATTTATGTCTCAAGCGTAGAAATGTAGAGCTGATAAAGCTTTATCTAGTGCAATACAAATTACGCCCTAAAAACTACTGCTCACATAAAATGTTCTAGAAGATATACATAGAGGCCTTTTTTCGGTACTTTTAACCATTTTTTATGAACTTACATATTCAGACCTAAAACGCGAACTATTTGCTGTCAGTAGACATTCCAGATCTGTCGTCCGGCAAATAATCTGTATTATTTCACCATTTACACGAACAATTTCCATTTAGTGTCACAGAAATCTACTTCAAAGGATATTACATGTAATCATGGCTTTAATGTGAAGCAAATAGGATAAGGTATATCCTATTCGCACATGATTTGTGTGCTCCTTTTAACAAAAGGTCTTGTAATGACATACACTTACGAGGGAACTATCCTAAGTGTTAATCACAGATGCTAACGAGAGGTATCCCAATCGATAGAGCTCGCTGATTCTAGTGGCATAAAGCATTTTTCCCAATGTTTCTTGAAGACCCAGTTTTCTAGAAAACCAGTTTTTCAGAAACTTTAAAAAATAACCAAAACATTTTTAAATAAGATATAATTGTAGCGGG